TGTGCGAGCAGCGCTACTGCGCCGTGTGCCGCGAGGAGCTGCGCCAGGTGCGCCGAGCCGGCCGGGCCGCGCGTTCGGGGCGCCGGGGCGGGCGCGGGGCGCGGCCGGAAAGGGACTTTGCCTTCCTGGTGTCCGGCCGCGGGCCTGGCGGCGCCGGCTTCCGAAAGACAAGCCTGACGGGGCCACCCGGGGCTGGCTCCCGGCCGTGGGGCCGGCAGGCAGGGGGTGGCCTCAGCTGGGTCGAAGAGGGAGCGGTCCCTGGGGGGGACGGTTCGTCCTGCGCCCCAGGGATTCCTGCCGGGCCACAGGAAGAGGCATGATCAGAGCAAGAACTACCTAACCTGCTTGCTCTGGAGAGTTTATTCCTCAGGGATCTCCACTGGAGGCAGAGGACTTGGGGTGGAGGGGACTGGGCAAGGGAGCACCTCCAGAGGCAGTCTGTCCTGGAAGCAGAGGGTCAAAGTGGGTATTTCCAGCCCAGACGTGTGTTTGGGTCCCTCAGGTTAACCCCAGCAAAGTCCTCCCTCCATAGACCGGCGCCTTCATGTATGGAGGGGCGGTGGCCCTTGGTCTGCCCACCACAGGGGAAGGCAGGACCATCGAGGTTTCCTTAGGACTCTTGGTGGATCGGGATAAAAGCGTTCTGAAGTTTTTCTCCTCCTTGCCAATTCAGGGTGGGGGGAGGGGCTCAGCTCCACAGCGGAGGTGGGGATGTTTATGACTCTTTCCAGACTTGGAAGCCATGGAGAGTGTCAGAGGACACCATGGAGATTCCCCCCACCCTCCCAATAATGCCAGATGCTGGCTGGGAGCACCTAGCTGGAGCTCCCTTGATTTGCTTTGAGATCTGTTTGCTTCCAGCATTGTGAAATTCCGTGGTTTGTTCATGGAAAGCTTGGGCTGGTGACATCTGCCAGGGAATCTGACTTTCTTCTTCCTAGAAGTGACGCAGACATGGCATTGTTGAGGAGTAGTTCCTTTGGTTGTTTTGTTTTGTTTAAGTAGAAATTATGTCTGATGCTATAATTCCCGAGCTCTCCACGGGCACTTACTCTGTGCTCCATTAGGAGACGCTTGGAGATGCCGCCAGTCTATCATGGGGTGAACAGAGATAGCCCTGGGAGAGATCTAGGGTGGAGGGGTGGTCAGGAAAGCCTTGGGCCTGTGGCCTAGTGAGCGCCTCCCAGCATTGCCACTCTTGCATGCTTGCATGGCATGACGTAACTCTTGGATGGCCAGGTTTCCCAGTGCACCTGTAGTTTCCTTCCAGGAAGGACGGGGCTGCAGGTCTCGCTCGGGAAGCGAGCAGGCACCTATGTGTGGCTACTCTAGCCGGCATCTGGCCTCTCTCTCACTCCTTGTGGGTCCCACACCCTTCCAGTGCTCTGTGGCAAGGGGGTGTTGACATGAGCTGTCAGCAGGCTCCTGCTGGGGCGTGCTTTGGCACTGGGTGCCTTTGGCTGATTCTGGCCTTCCTCTCGGGCCTGCCCTGAATTACTGGGCAGCAGGAGAGTGTCCCGGGAAGTGTGTGAGATGACGATCCTCTCTGTTCATCTTGCTTCCCTCCCACTCTTGAACTTGCAGCCCCACCCTGGTCCTTTGTGTTCCCTTGCTGAGTCCTGCACTGTCCTCTGAATGTGCCATGCCCACCAGGGAATCCCACAGCACCCCCCCCCAGCCCCTGAACCCTGCCTCTGCTGTGTCCTTACTTACAGAACTAAGTCTTTGTAAAAACTTGGGAGGAAAGTGAGCCAAGGGACTGTGTGGAACAGGCCTACCCCTGGACCGGGCACTTCCCTGTGTCTGCCCCTGGGGCAGGCGTTGCAAAGAGCAGACGCAGAGCAGCCCTGCAGCTGCTGGTCAGGCGAGGAGCCAGACTGATCTAGATTGCCCAGCAGGTGCTCAGGGTAGAGGCGAGGCCAGGCTCCCAGGTTGTCTCTCAGGTCTGTCTCTGTCCACCCCAGATGGTTTCCAGGGTGCACCGGCAAGACCAATGTCAGGCTTCCCATCCACCCTTCTTCCCCAGTCACATCTCTCCTACAGGCCGTTTTCTTCTGAGAGATGATTCAGGCCTTGGGCTCCACCTGGCCCTGATGCCCCTCGCACGTCCAAGAGGTTTGATGGGGCTGCTGTACAAAGTGGGATGTGTCTGAGCTAGTCTCCCTTCCGTTTCACAGGCAGGAGGTGGGAGGGGACCTGCTGATGACAGGTCAGGAGGCCAGACCTGCTGACCGGTCTTGTTTTTCTGTTGTTGGGGCCCATCCCCACTGGCCTGGTCCACCTGGGCTCCTCAGGGGCCTGTGCTTCTAGATGGGGCCCACCTTCAGCATCAGGCTCACTCTCACCAGTGGTCGATGCTAGCGCCACCCATCCCTTCTTCCACTCGTGCTCAGGGAGCGCCCACTGCATACTGGGAGTGGGGAGCAGCAAAGCCCCAGGCAGGAACACATACCCACCTCGTGGGGGTCCAAGCAGGGCTCTCCTCCCATCTCCTGCTCCCTCTCTTCAGGGATTGGCCTGGCATCCTGGGGCCCACCCAGGGGTGCCCTTTCCCCCTCTGACACCTGCTGCCTGGCCCACCCAGGGGCTTCCCGGGATGGTCCATCCTCACGTGTCCAGGCCGGGCCTGTGCCTCTGTCCTCAGACCCATGACCCTCTCCCATCAGGGTGATCACTAGGGTGGGTGGGTCTCGGGCCATGCTGGTGGGATGCCTGGCGGTTCCTCCGCGTCCCGGGTTGGGCCACCGTGCCCTGATCTTGTTTGGCGACTCGGTCCTGCCACTCGCTCACCCTGTGCTGTGGGCAGGGACACGGGCCACGCCAAGCCGCACTGCCATCTTCCTGCCTGCCCCTCGCGCTCCTGACGTCTGGTGCAGGCCTCCGGGGGCCCCATGTCACAGCCTGTCTAGGAGGGGCCACCAGCATTTCCCCACTCGCACCCCCTGGCTCCAGACCTGCTCCCCCTCTTTCTCAGACAGACCCAGCCTTGAGCCGTGTGCCGCAGCCACTTCCCTTTCCCCGACCTCTTCCTGGGCTTGCCACCCCTTCCCCAGCGAGCCCAGTGTCCCCTTCTGCTGGCGTGGCCCACGTGTGCTCAGCACAGCCGGGCAGTCCGTCTCGAGGACTGTACCCACCTCTGTCCACAGCGAGGGTGCCCGCAGCAAGACGCTCCCAAGGGGGATCAGGGCAGACCTCGGAGAGGAAGGCGCCGGAGCTGGGGGAGGCAGTGGTGTCCTCTGCGGAAGGAAGTTGTTCCTCTGTTTAGTCTGCTGGACTTGGATGCCTTTTGGCTGGGGGTTCCCTCACGGGCTGCTGCTGAGCCGCCTTGTGGGCAGGTGCCGGGCTCCCAAGTCTGCTGTCCGTGTTGCCTCAGCACAGCTAGGACCCTGAGTTGCACGACAGGCCTCGTGACCTGTGGCCGGCCTGCAGCATCCTGACCAGCTCAGGGCCCTGCGTGTGCAGGCGCTGGTCCCCTGGCAAGAGGCAGTAGGGACTAGGGTCTGGGCTCGGAAAGCAGGGCTGGGTGGGGCTTGCCCCAGAGGGGCAGGTCTCCTGAGAAGAGGCCAGTGTGAGACCCGGAGTCCTGGGGAGAAAACCAGGGGGAGGGGGAGCCTCAGGAGCACAGCTGTAATGAGCCCCCACTCGTTGCGCGGCAGGGGCAGTGGTGGGTGGTCACGTTCACCCTGCCCAGCCTTGCCAGACGTGACATCAAGGGGAAGAAAAGCCTGTTGGGGCAAGCTCGTCCTCCTCCACCCCCCACCGTGGGTGTGGCTGGACCCTGATGCTTCCCTTGGGCTCCTATGGGGGTGTGGGGGTCGGCTTCTTCTACCCACAGTGTATCACCAGAAGTGTGCACTGAGGTCCCCAGCTTCTGCCCCAGGACCCCCAGGGAACCAGTTTTAACCGTGCTGCTGCTGGGGGACATTGTGACCACCCATTCCCCCCACCCAGTACTGCGCTTTTCCAAGTTCATGGCCATTCTGATCCCAGGTATCCTCCCTGGCTGAGCTTAGCTGAGTCTAAACATGACAGGGATGACCTTGACATGGCCCAAGGTGAGGACTCTGAGCTGAGGCGAGTGACCAGCTCCAGGCCAGGGGGGACAGTGGTGGAGTGGGAAGGGGCATGGAGAGACCAGCAGCATGTCTGGATCCAAGGGAGGGGAGTGGGGGCCAGCGAGGAGGGAGCCTGGAGGGAACAGTGCCTTTGTTGTCTAGGAGGGGAGGCCTGGGCCTGCGAGAGGGTCCTGGGGCTGGGCTCTGTGGAGGGGCTGAGCACGCTGTACTCAGAGTGCCGGAGACCCCTGGGAAAGAGGCTGCAGGAGTGTCTGCACCCTGCCCCTGCTGAGTGCCCGCAGCTCGGCACTGACCCCCCCTGACAACCGGATGGCAGGCAGGAACCTGGCCAAGAAGCAGTCAGGGGCCGTGACCGACTCCTCCGTGGCATCATGGGTGGACAGAGCATGACTAGGCCTTGACTCGTGGTTGCCTGTCTCGTCCTGGTGACATTATTTCCATAGCTGCTTCTTAGACTGCATCTGGCCTGTGCTCAACACCCATGTGATTAAGCCCTGGCTTGCTTCGTCCCTGTCACTGCCCCCTGGGGTCACCGCCCCTGGGATGACCTGGGTCTGTTGCATAGCTGGTTTGGCTGTGGATGAGGGAGAGCCTGCCGCCCCCTGGTGGCCAGGCCGGGTACTGAGTCTCCATCCGGGCAACCCCAGGTGGGCACGCCGCAGGTGTGGAGAGGGGGCCCTGGGTGGCCCAGGATAGCAGAGACTGCTGCCCGCAGGGCCTGACGTGGGCCTCCCACGAGGGGCTGAGTGCCTCCCTTTCTTCTTAGCCGGACAGTGTCCTCCAGTGGGTGTCCACAGCCCTTCTCAGCAGGCCCCTCACTCTTGGTTCCAGGTGGTCTTTGGGAAGAAGCTTCCCGCCTTTGCCACAATTCCCCTCCACCAGTTGCAGCACGAGAAGAAATATGACATCTATTTCGCGGACGGGAAGGTTTTTGCCTTGTACAGGTGAGCGGGGTCCCAGGGGCCTGCAGCCAGCCTGGGTCTGGGGAGGGGCTTGTGGCAGGGATGGGCACGGCCCTCGGGTGGGTGAGAGGGCAGCGTGCGTGTCAGGGCCCCCCTGCTTTCCTGGCGTCAGCCCAGCAGGGGTGGATGGGCGGGGCGAGTCTAGGGAAAGCGCTGGGTTGTAGCGTGGTGCCGGCTTTCTGGGGCGTGTGAGGCGCACGCAAGCCCGCGTGAGTTGGGATCTTAGCCCGTGGCAGGAAACCCCATGAAGGGCACGGCTGTCGCGGGGCGGGTGAGGGGCTGGCTCCCAGTGTGGTAGTCACCGTGCCCGCCCTACGCAGAGGTCGGCCATCCCGCAGCCGGGCTCAACCCCGGGGCCCCTGCGCTGGTGGGCGTGCCGGGTGCCCGTCATCCTGGCTCCTCCCAAAGCGCACGCAGAGGCCGTGAGTAGGCGCCAGGGCTCGCTCCGGCCGGTGCCACTGAGTGCCCGCACGGCCCGGGGGGCCCGATGTGTCTCTAGGCAGCTGCTTCAGCACGAGTGCCCACAGTGCCCCGAGCTGCCGCCGTTCGGCCTCTTCGGAGACCTGGAGCAGCACATGCGGAGGCAGCACGAGCTCTTCTGCTGCAAGCTGTGCCTCAGGCACCTCAAGGTGCGCCCCACCCCGCTCTCCTGGCTCGCGCCACCCCAGCCCCCCCCCCCCCCCCCCCCCC